ACATACAAGGCAACAAAATATTTTTTTATGTACTAAATTTAAAATATTAAAGAACTTTAAAAATCTATGTTGATTACAGCAAAACAAAAAGCTGAGGTTGAAAATATTCATTTTAAATAACAGCAATTCAAAATAATGACTTACTCCAAAGATTTGGAACACAGTGAAGTAGCTAACCAAAAACTAATTTCAATTTTAGTCTTAATTTGTAACACTGGGGCTTGTATTTCATTTCTTATTCCCTAGTCTCTGCACTGGCTGCATGAAGAAATAAATTTTTTTCAGGAATATGTGAAAGATCCTTAAGTTTTTTGAAAATAATACTATAGTAATAATACTTTGGCAAATAATTCCTTTGCAAATTAGCTTTTAGAATAAACTATACATATGAACAAGGAGAACATTCCATTAGAGGTTTTATAGGTTACCAATGGAAAATAATGTTGTGGTAACTAAGCTTGCTAAATTATTTATTTTTAATTATCTTACTGGGTCTTTTCTGTGCATGCGTGTGTGCGTGCATGTGTGTGTGTGTGTGTAGTTATTATAATGGTGATGTACTGAGGAGTTACAGTAATGAGTACATTTCTTTTTGAACATGTCACCCCTTTCTTTTCCCCCCAGTACTAGGGTTTGAACTCAGGGCATAATGCTTGCTTAGCTGGCATTCTACTCCACCTGAGCCATGGCTTCAGCATTGGCCTTTTCTAGTTATTTGGGAGAAAGAGTCTTGTGTACTATTCTGCCCTGGTGGGTTCTAAGCTGGACCTTACCCTCAGTAGTTAAGTTTATAGGTGTGAACCACCAGTACCTAGAGTTGCATCCATTGGTTGTGGACACTTAAGTGTTTAAATACATTCTAGAACTTTCTACTAAAATTATGTACAAAAGGAGAATGCATAGGTTAGACTTCTCAAATATTAAATGAAAATGCCTTTTACAAAAAATTAACTTTATTAGGAAAACTGACATTTACTGTTCACTTGTCTTGCTTATAAAATTGATATAGAAAAATAATTTAATTAAACAAAATCGTATTGACATAAATGCTTAAATAAACTACTATTCTAAATATTGTAAATATTTCCTAATTCTTTTGCAATTTCTATTGATAAAAAAGTCAATAGAATTTCCTTACATGCCACATATATATCCTCTCAGAACAGTAAAATAAGAATAAGACTAATTTTTCACTCCATGGTCAAATATCCAAAATATTTTTAAAGTTTTTAGTAGCTGAGAAAAGTGCTAGATCAGTAATAGTTGTTCTTAAGCTGATTTCTAATGGACTTTTTTACTTGTAATATGTTTTTCCTCAGAAGCATATGTTTATTTGAAAATAAATAATAAGAATAGCTAAACGATAAGGAATATAATGTAATCCTTACAACAACCCTACCTACAAAAGTAAGTAAACTCAAGGTTACAAAGTTAAGAGGTGAAGCCTAGTTCAAGAACCTATATGTTTAACCACCATGCAGATGATTTGTACCCATCTAGGTTCATTGAAAAAAGGTCTTTAGAGAAGGAAACTCAAGAACTTTTTTTTTTAATCAGTCGTAGGGCTTGAACTCTGGGCCTGGGCACTATCCCTCAGCTCTTCAGCTCAAGTCGAGCGCTCTACTGCTTGAGCCACAGCACCACTTCCAGTTTTCTAGTGCTTTATTAGAGATAAGAGTCTCACAGACTTTCCTGCCCTGGCTGGCTTTGAACAGTGATCCTCAGATCTCAGCCTCCTGAGTAACTAGGATTACAGGCGTGAGTCACCAGAGCCTGGGTAAGAACTTTCATTTTTAGTAAAAGCATCTTATTTTTATGTTTAAGGTCTGACAATCAACTTAGGAAAAAATAGTACAGACAGTATTAGTCTCTTTACAATGCACGCGCACATGCACACACACCCACACACACCCACACACACGTGCATGCACTCACAAATTTAATTCACCAATGTCCACAGTATATACCTTAAATAATAGTAGGATAATTATTTTTCTTAAACTGAGAGATATTAGATGTATTTATAAACATGAATTCCTTCGGAAGAAAATAAGATTACTTTTTAGTTTTAAAAAAGTCAACAAATATACTCTCAGAATAAAAAGTAGTTGAGGTCAAAATAGACATCTTTTTTCAAGTGTTAGTGCTTAAAAAGTAAACTTCACAATTTAATGCCGTAACTGTCTTTAAAAATATTTTCTATCAATTCAAACAAGACTAGCTTTTTGGTAAACAGAGTAAATTTTACATAGGAATTTAATATTTATGTATCAATAGTTTTCTTTTCTGCATTAAGGTAGTTTAAAAGGATAAGACAAAGAAAATATTCTACTTATATATTTCTATTAAGTATTTTCATGCTTAATACCAGAAATGACATTTAAATTGATCTTAAAAAAAAATAAAACTTAGCTGGGTACTGGTGGCTCAAGCCTGTAATCCTAGCTATTTAGGAGGCTGATATTCAAAGCCAGCTCCAGCAGGAAAGTCTGTAAGACTCTTATCTTGCCAATAAACTACTCAGAAAAGGTTGGAAGTGGAGCTGTGGCTCAAGTGGTTGAGTGAGAGCCTTGAGCAAAAGAAGCGCAGGGACAGTGCCCAGGCCCTAAGTTCAAGCTCTAGGACTAATAAAAACCAACAAACAAAAAGACATGGGTAATTGGGTGCAGGTGGCTCATGCCTGTAACCCTCAACTACTCAGGAGGCTGAGATCTGAGGATCACAGTTCAAGGCCAGCCCAGGCAGGAAAGTCTGTGAGACTCTTATCTCCAATACACCACCAGAAAACCAGAAGTGGCACTATGGCTCAAGTCGTAGAGCTCTAGCCTTGAGCTGAAGAGCTGAGGGATAGTGCCCAGGCCCAGAGTTCAAGCCCCACAACCAACAACAACAAAAATCCCCACTAAACAAACAAAAAATGTGGTTAAGCTGGGTACTGGTGGCTCACACCTGTAATCCTAGCTACTCAAGGAGGCTAAGACCTGAGGATTGAGGTTTGAAGCCAGCCTGGGCAGGCAAACCCATGAGATTCTTATCTCCAATTAATAATCAGAAAGCCAAAAATAGAAGTGTGGCTCAAGTCGTGGTGTGCCAACCTGGACCATTAAAGACCAGGGGAGAGCACAGGGCCCTGTGTTCAAGCCCCAGTACTGGCACAAATTTTTAAAAAAAATGCATAAAATGAGTAATTTATAAAATCTAAGATGATAAATATCCTATTATTAGAATTTTTGGCAAGAAAAAAAATTCACTAAGTGGTATTCTTACATATGAACAAAGCTTTAAGTTTTATGGTCCGCAAAGTTCATTGATAACTAATATTATCAGTATTCTATTAATTCATTTATTTGAAGTAAATGACATATTCCATTGTGAAGCAGTTGCCATTTTCTTTATGAAGAATACCATGGTTCACATATTATAAGCGAGGTATAAGAGTTCTTGTTCTCAGGACAGTATTCCCTACCTTAGCCCTATGCAGATACAGAGACATAGAAATACACTCCCTCCACCAACCCATACCTTAAGAACCAGGAAGGGAACTTTATTTATTTTGAACGGCTCATTCTAGCAAAACATGTACTTTTGACCTAAGTTTCTGCCAGTGGTAAGCAAATGGTCAATAACTGACTAAAACTATCACTTAAAACAGTGTTTTACAAACTTTTTTTGTCCATGAGCCAGTCAAAAATATACAAGTCCTGTCACGGTGTACATACACAAACTAAAAGCAACATCTCATGAGAAAACAATATATGAGTATACATATTCACATAACATCTGTGACACATTACATATGATACATTGATAATTTCCATTTTTGCTTTGCTAGCTTAAAAAAGAAATAATGGCTAGGCAATCCATTGACATAATTAATTTCTAATATCAACTGCAACTGTATAGAACACTGTATGCAGTTTATTTTACTTTTGCATGTAAAACTCCATCCACCAATATAGGAACAGAAAATAATAGAAACAGGCCAGGTCTTAACTAAGATATTATTTCCATGACTAATAATGCTTTGAAGAACTGATAGGAAATGAGTCCTAAAAATAGCAAAGGCTGGTATGATATCAGTAGAAGCATAATAATATAACACTATAATATTTAGTCATGTTACAATGAACAGTAGAAGGATGTCCCAGGTAAACTGTAAAATATTAATTGACTCTGCTATAACAAAAGTCATATAAAGATTTTGTAGAAATGTTTTCAATTCATCTTAAAAATGTCAGTAGGATACTCTAAAATACTGATAAAAACACACTTTTATTTTTTACTTTATTTAAAAATTTTTTTACCAATTAGTAACTTCTGCCATATACGACTTTTAACTGAAAATAGATGTATCCATTTTTTTGATATATGTAACTATATAATCAGACTATATATTATAAATACCTTCACAGTTACTAGTCTGTGGCTAGACCTATTACTACAAAAGTTTTAAAGTCAGTCAGTGTCATTTGGAGAAAATATATTTTATAAAATAGAAAATATTTAACCAGGACAAGATTGCTTATTAGCTACAAATAAAAAACGTTTTATATATTTATGTTAGTTCATACAATTACTTTTTTGAAGAAAAAAAATAATTGGCAGTATGTACCTTTTTTTTTGTTTATGACCATTTAATTTTAACTTAGTATTTTCTCATATATATTTTTCTCACATATAATATCCTTTCATATATATAATTACATATAAATATATTTCTATTGTTCTATTAAACTGCTTCTACAAAAGTTAGCTTAGGTTAGCATATTCAAAATATCAGGTTCTTTTGACTACCAAGAGACAGAAACAAGAGGTTAAAAAAATTATGAAATTCTGGCAGATTGACTAAATTCGTGCTTGCAAGGGAAAAACAACATTGTCAGAAACATTTCATTTTAAGTATATGAGTTAGTTTCTTGAAGTTCAGCCCATCTTTTAAGCAATAAAATAAATACAAAAAAATTAAACTACGAAAAATGAGACAAAGTTGAAAAATTTACCTGAAATTCTGGTACAGCAGGTGATTTTGTGAGAGTTTTCCTTTTCTTTGTGATTGCTTTCTTAGATATAGATTTTTTTCCTTTCAAGATTAAAAGAGAAAAAGCTTTATTAATGCTGTTTCCTGAACTTCATTAACCAAAACCAAATTATACGGAGCCTTGAAAGTTAAATTATAACTAACAGATGGTGGCTAGTGAGTCAAATAAAAATGATGAATCAAAACAAGCCCCAGTAAGAGCAAACATTAAACTGTAACTACCTGTAAGAGACACATTAACAAATGCTATCTTATTTATGTAAGAAGCAAACTATTAGAATCTTTATACGTTTCAGAATTTACTGCAATCAAATCAGGCAAAAAGCCACATACTGCTACTCATTAAAATCAGCATTCACAATTAATAATAAGATCCACATGGGAGAAAAAATGCTTACCTGTAACAATGACTTCTACAGTCAGGAGCTAAATCTCAAGATTATATCCTCTACTCAACCTAATGTGAAAATACCCTCAGTAGCTTAAGAAACAAGGTTTTTCTGTCCCTTCAGCTCTGCACACTGCTAATGGGCTGCCCTTGGCAGTATTCAAAATCCAAAGTTTTAGAAGAAGATAAACATTTGCCTTCAAAGTGCACCTTGTAATTTGTGCATTCAGAAATCATTATGGAAAAATAAACATCATATTCTTAAAGAAATCCAATTTGTAGCATACATATGCAGCATTACCTACTTAGTATTTAACTTCATAAAAGGATTCATACATAAAGCTTCTATTTTTAGTAAGGAACATATTAAAAGTTTTTGTAATTAGCAAAAATTAATTTTTCTTGATTACTCAACAATAATAGATATAGGACACTTATGGGGGAAATAAGGAATTATAAATGGACACTGTCTTCCAGGAGTTCAGTCTATATAAAGGTATAGAAAGTTAAATCTAATACTTCTTTATTAATCTGGGTTTTTTTTTTTTTTGGTGCTGAGACTCAAAAGGACTCATACTTATCAAGCAAGCTTTCTACCACTGAGCTGTCTGCAGATCTTCTATATTAATTTTAACTCATAATTATCTGTAGACTAAAAGCAGCTTACAAGCTATTTTTTTTCAAATGAGAAAATGAGTTATCACATAAAATAAATTCATTTTACATAGTTTTAATGCTCCTTTCTAAACATTTTCTTAAGTAGATATGATCTCAAGTAAAAAAATGTCAATGTCTGATATTTTATTGAACCCAGCTGACAATGTCTTTTTTTTTACATTTTTTTATTGTAAAATTGCTGAAGAGAGGGGTTACAGTTACATGAGCAAGGTAATGAGTACATTTCCTATTGAGCATTGTCTCCTTTGTTTTCCCCCACCATCCATTCCCTCCCATCTCCACAACAAACACACCTCCTCTCCCCACCTCCCACCAGCTGACAATTTCTGCTGACAGTAACTGTGGTTATTGTCTATATTCCTTTTTAACCTTATCACAGAACTGCAATGTGGGTAATTTCTAACTTCTGGTTCAATAAAATGTATATAGCATGACTAAACTTTGAGCTGACAGAGTTCATGGTTAAGGCTCATTTAACTTTAATAAGTATCAACCTGTTTTCAGAATTTTTTTTTTTGGGGGGGGTCAGTCATGGGTCTTGAACTCTGGGCCTGGGTTCTGTCTCTCAGCTCTTCAGCTCAAGCCTAGCGCTCTACCCCTTGAGCTGGCTTTCTGGTGGTTAATTTGAGATAAAAGTCTCAAGAGACTTTCCTGCCCATTCTGGCTTTGAACTATGATCCTCAGATCTCAGCCTCCTGACTAGCTAGGATTACAGATGTGTGAGGCACTGGTGCCTGGCTCAGAATAATTTTTAAATTGATCCAACGTATTTTTCTAAATAATCATTTGTTTCTGTGTTGACATTGTACTTACATAACAGTACTGCTATAGAAATAGATAAGCTGGGTGAGTTACCTAAACAAGCAATAGTTAGAAGTGATTATGGTATGTCTCTGATAACAGCTAGCTCAAGGAGACTCATAAACATGTGTCTTTTTTCTATATGCTATCATTTTTTAAAGTTCATGGGAAAAGAGTCAATGATTTGCTATGTAAATCTGCCTTACTGAAGGCTGAAAAGATCTTATAAACACAATAATGTAAAGAAATGGTGATTTTTCTTTAATCCCTTCCCCTATTCTAATTAAAACCAAAACATTTGATTCTGCATTTATTCAGGCACAAATCACTCTTTGCAATTCCATGCATTTTTACATTGTTACCATATTATCTAAGGCACTAAATTCTGTGAACTTTAGCAGCCACTCTATTTGAATAAATTTAAAATCTAAAGTGGTATTGCTTTCTTCAGCTAATCATGTCATTAGAATGCTTAAATGTTAAAGGATGTAGCCCTGTGTTATTATGCAGTGTTTGAGTTTAGGAACTAAACTATGTGAGTGCAAATATTAGTTACAACTACCTACTAGCTGCATGACCTTAAGCAAATAGCTCTATTTATTTGTGCAGGGTCTTTACATCTGTGGAACAAGAATAACAATACCTCCTGCTGTGAGAATTAAGTAAATTATAATACACAGAGCTGTAAGGCATGTGGTGAGTGAACACTAATAATTATCTTTTCTGCTTTAGCTAAGTGAGAAAATTCACAATCTAATCTAAAGATCTTAACCTTCAATTTAATTTTGTTGGTCATAGGGCTTGAACTCTGGGCCTGGCACTGTCTCTGAGATCTTCAGCTCAAGGTGAGCACCTACCACTTGAGCCACAGCACCACTTCTGGTTTTCTGGTGGTTAATTGGAGATGAGTCTCCTGGACTTTCCTGCCCAAGCTGGCTTTGAACTGCGATCCTCAGATCTTCACCTCCTGAGTAGCTAGGATTACAGGCATGAGACACCTGTGACTGACAACCTTCAATTTTTTTCCTTGAATCTCTTGTGGTTCTTTTTCATCTGTACAATTGTGCTATTCGTCAAACCAATGAATATAAGATTTGTTATAGATAGTATAACTATTTGTAATGTAGCTCTTCCTTAATATATTGTGAATTATTAATGGCAGAAATCAAATTCAATTTGTTCTTGGTGGCAATGAGTTCTGCGGAGTGATTCTTAAACATATTTTCATCAGAAATTTTGTCAGTCTAATGATAAGAAAATAATGATTTACAATTCATAGTAAGGACAACACTGACAATGGTTTAAATAATTTACTTTTTTTAGTGGTACTGGGGATTGAGCCTATAGACTCAAGCATGCTAGACAAGGGCTCTGCAATTGAACTATCTACCTTTTTAAAATTTTTTTCTTAAGACAGTCTGACTAATTTGCACAAATTGGCCTTGAACTTGGAATCTTTCTGCCTTGGCCTCAGTAGTAGGTGGGATTACAGGTATGTACCATTATGCCAAGCTTAATTTACACTACTTATTGAAGTTTCAACCTTCTCTGTCTTAAGAAAGGTCAGCACCCATATAATTAAGAGATGGCAGAGGTAGTAGTAGTGAAGGTTGTTTCTGTCAGCCGGTGGATGTAAGGGGATCTAGGACATGTTACAGATAGTACACGCATAGCCAGAGTCCCTCCAGAATGGCGGTTAGCAATTCTGACATATTATGGATAAATGAATGTTGAAAAAAACAACCAAAGACCCACAGTGTAGGTTATCTTTAACTTTTGTAGACCAGGCTTTATGGGGAACCTTTTGTTTTCCCCAAAGGGCTGATACATTTCAACATTTGGAAAACATCAGTGCTAACTTTGAGTTGGCAGATGTAACCTGACCAACTGTTGTTTAGTACCTTTCAATAAAATTATTGAAATGGAAAAAAAAAGGCTCACAAGTGACCTAATTGTGATTTTAACAATATTAACATGTATTGAGAGCCTAAGATCGGACACTTATTAAAGTGATTTTTATGAATTAATCATTTAAATGTCAAAACAACCTTCCAAGGTTAAGTAATACCTTATTTTTGATATGAGATAAATATCTAAAAGATTAACTTATGCACAGCCAGGGATTCTACCTTCAAAGCCTTTCATTATGCAATTCAGCCTCACAAAAATCAGTTCCAATTGACTGATCAATTTATTGATTTCTACAATATGCCAGGTTCTATGGATGCTAGATTTTGTTACCTTATTTTTAAATAAAAAATAGATTAGAAACAAAGAAATTAATGGATGATTTGTAGCTAATATGCACTGGCGCATATACTTCAAACTGTGTTGTTTGTTGATATAAAACCTCATCCTTCAAAACTCTTTACAGTGATACGATCCACTTTTGGTTGACTTCATAGAATTCATTTTGATTAGAGTTAGAAGATTTATTTGCATGTTGACCATTATTTAATAATTTCAGTATATATCCTCAATAGAAAACAATTTGAATGTAAATTTCCTTGTATCCTTTGTTAAAATTAAAATAATTATTTACTTTAAATTATTTTTAAATGGAGCATGGGATACTACAAAACAATAAGTTGTACTTTGGTAATATGCCTGTTTGGGGACAAGATATATAATAGACAAGTTATATACTGCCCCCCAGTGGGTTTCCATTCCCCAACTACGTGTATTGAACATATTCTGGGGACTTTCACTCCTTCCCTAGGTCACTGGATTCTATAAAATAAAACATACGCAGAATTTCACCAATAGTGCTTTAAGTCTTCCATGAACATTTTGAACAAAAAGTGTCAACTTGTATTTGGAAAATGTATAAAACTTTATTAATAAACTTTAATGTTAAAACAGCAATTAATGTTGCAAAAGTAAACCTAAGCTGGATGTTGGTGGCTCATGCTATAATTCTAGCCCCTCATGAAGCTGAAATTCAGAGGATTAAGGTTTGCAGCCAGCCTGGGCAGAACAAACTTGAAGAGATATCATCTTCAAAATAACTAGTAAAAAGCAGGGCAGGAAAGTGGGGCTCAAATGGTAGAGCAAGCAAGCAAGCCAAGCAAGTGGTAGGCCCTGAGTTAAAAACCTAGTGCCAGAAAAATAAACAATATTCTCAGGATAACTTAAGAAAATTATATCCAGCCAGGCAATGGTGGCTCAGGCCTGT